TTGAAACAGGGGTTTACAAATTGCAAAAGAAGGAAAAGGAAAAATATGTTTTTTTCCATGTTCAAATATAAGCATTTTCATTTTTTGATCTGTTAATATTCTCACGCATGTGGACAAGGCTGATGGTGCCAATCCAAGCACAGACGCAAGACAAAAAAAAAACAAGAAAGAAACAAGAGTTGCCCTTGGTGAAAAGGGATTTATAAATGTAAAAAAGGCAAGTTTCCTGCACTAAAATCACTATATTTATTTAAATATAGTGATTTTAGTGCAGGAAAGTCACTATAGTTTTAAAATAATGTGATTTTCCTGCAGTAAAATCACTATATTTTACTGCAGGAAAGTCAATATATTTTTTTTAAATATAGTGATTTTACTTCAGTATTGATCTGAATAATTGCAAGGTAGTGCTTTGACTGCAACATCTTGTTGTTGTAAAGGTGTGGGTGAGAAAGATTTACTCATCACTAATGGCTAATCATATGATTAGCCTTTTGAATGAGGTCCGACTTCCCTTTTTGCCCACACTTGATTCAGACAGCTGCATAGAAGCTGATTTATTTTGCAGAGAGATTAGAATAATTGGCGACATAAAAAAATCAGTTTAAATTACGACTGTTATGAGTGCATTATTTACATAACAGTAGTATCATCACCATTGTCATATCAGGAAACGTCTCTAATTATTTCCTACACAGTAAAGTTAGCCATTAGGAGCTTAAAAAAAAGCAGAAACTGTTTACAAAATTCATGGGGGGAAAAAGGAAAATAAAAAAAATTACAAATTTTGTTGAAAGAGAAAAACAACTAATGTAAATCCTTTTGTTGTCCCACAATGGGTAAATTTGACCCACCCCGTTGGGGAGCAGTGGGCTGGCATTGTGTGGCGCCCAAGGAGCGGTGTGGGTACTTGCAACCTTTACAGAGTACAAGTGCACTGCTCTAACCACTAGGCCAACACTCCCCAATGACAGAGGATGTTACGTTTTAATGTAGCATTGCAATAAATGAATATGAATTATCACCTGATTCACTTTGTTCAGTTAAACCTTCTTGTCTTTAACATTTCTCTTTAGGTGGCTATAGCCAGCGTCTCCCCAATGCCAGTGCTCTGGGAAAGATCCTCATGCCTTTACCTCTGGGTGACCCCATCTACCAGATGCTGGAGCTCAAACTGGCCATGTATGTGGATTTCCCATCAAACATGAGGCCTGGTGTCTTGGTGACCTGTGCAGATGACATAGAGCTCTACAGTATAGCAGAAGAGGATACAGTTAGGTTTGATAAACCAGGCTTTACAGCTTTAGCCCACCCCTCCCCGCTCTCTGTGGGAACTACCCATGGTGTGTTTGTGTTGGATCTGAATGAAAGATCCTCATTCTCAGAAATGGAGAATGCCTCCTGTCTGTGCTTTCTGCACAAGCCAAGTATTCATAAGATGCGGGACAGCGGAGCTGTGTGTAGGAAGCAGAGTGACCTTTTCTCCATGTCAGACAGTGAGTTCGTCTATACAGACAGCACCTATTACATGGACTTTGACACAGCTAAGTCACTTCTGAACCTTCTGAGTGAGTTGGGTCCTTTGAACTGTGAGATAGATGCATATGGGGACTTTCTTCAAGCTCTGGGGCCTAAAGCCACAATAGAGTACACCAAAAACACAGCTAATGTGACCAAAGAAGAGAGCGGTCTAATTGAAGTTAGACAAAAGATCTTCCATCACCTCAAAGGGACGCCTCTCAATGTCATTCTCCTCAACAGCTCCAAGTTTTACCACATTGGGACCACCTCAGAATACCTCTTCCACCTGACGGAGGACCAGGCGTTCCAGCGTGAGCTGGGCCTCCTGTCTTCTGCCTTCAGTGTAAATGTCAATGAAAACCTTTCTGGTTGCTGCATCATGTTCAGTGTCCTTGATCCCAGTTGCTCTGTGGAGGCTGGGTCGGTGGTGGAGTACTCCAGATTAGAGCGAGGGGTCTCAGTAGGCGGTGGGTCCATCGTCAGCAGCTGCTGGGTCAGTTCAGGCCTCTCTTTGCCAGCTGGAGCTTTCCTGCACACATTATGTGTTTGCCACCAGCGACAAACCAGGTTTGTTACCGTCTTCTTTGGGATTCAGGACAATCTTAAGAAAAGTGTAGCTTCACCTGCATATCTAGAAGAACTCCAGTTTTTTGGGTTTAACCTCACAAAGTGTCTGTCCCATTGGGGGATGGAGAAAGAATCCATTAAGTTTTCCGGAGACGCATCAAGCTGCAGTTTGTGGAACGCTTGCTTGTTTCCCGTTTGCCCCGACCAGCAGAGCTCGTTCTCCATGTCTCTTGGGATGCTGCAGGCCATCCTGAACGGCTCCACAAGCCCCCCACCCAGAGACACAGTTCTGATGTCCATGCAGGACTGTTTACTGTGCAAGGACCTGGAGGAAATGCTGAAGCTGAAGAAGGAACTGCATCGTAACATCAAACAGGGGAAACTCAGCATTTAAAGAGCCATGTTTAATATTGAGTTCAATTTAAAAAAGTTTTACATTGCCAGTGAAAGAGAGGAGTTTGACATTTTAAAGCTTTCGGTTGTAAAAAAAGAAAAAAATCTTTCTATAAAACTATTTTAAATGAGTCATGTTTTCCTTCATACTTTTGCATTAGAAAAAAGAGATTTTACCTATTTATACCATTTTTCTCTTTTTCTTCATCAGATTCTAGAAACCTTTGAATTACCTTTTCACAACTTCCTGTTTGCTTGCTTTACAAAAACGTGTCATTCAAGTAAGGCAGTTCTATCGATGGCTCAGGAAGTGGCTACTGGAGAATAGCTACTCACCTTCTGGCCATATGTTGGAATGTAAAACAACTCAAACTGAAAAGATTGGTCGAGGACTTTTATCTAGGGCTGAAATAATCAAATAATCGTGATTAATCGATTATTGAAATAATCGTCAACTAATTCAGTAATCGATTAATCGTTAACTAGAGTATAGAGACTCCAGTACATGCCTGTAGCTGACGAGTGACCCACACGGAGCAGTAAATATACCAAAATTGTAAAACATGTAAACATTTTGCATTTAAGATGGAAAAACAATATGCTCTATCCAGAACTCCTCAAGTGGAAAAGTTTGAGTTTCACCTGGAACCTTTTGCTATTATTAAACGATTCATCGGAAAAATTGTTATCAGATTAGTCAATTTGCATAATAATCATTAGTGGCAGCCCTGCTTCTATCTACTTCTTGCCATCATACAGAATGGGGACAGCCTGCGTTCTTAGTATCTCGGAGCTATTGGATTTGGGAGCGTTCAACTTGCAAGCTGGAAAATGGTTTGCTGTTTATTTGATTTTTATGGGTTTATTTTAAAGGTTTTTGTGCATCTTGAGTGCAGAGCAGGACTGGGGGCCATACACCTAAAATCATATATTTTGTGTTGATAATGTGCTAATGGTAAATTTTTTGGATGAAAAAACACATCAGTCTCTTTATTTCTTAAAATTAAAAAAATGGCTTTCTTAGAACACCAATAAAATAATAAGTGTGATTAATATCACTTAACATCCCTCAGTAACTGCTTTTAATCATATTTATAGAACTAGTAAATTCCCCCAATAAAAATAAAAAGAATGAGAAATAAAAATTCTTACACTCATTCCTACACTGACCCGTTTTTGGGAAGATTTAAAACTTGAATTCTAATTTATCCTTTAGACAATAGATAAAAATTCTTATAATGCCAAAAAATGTTTCCTGATAATGATAAATGCCCACCCTTAGTGCTGAAGCAGTGGTAATATTATGATTGAAAACACACACCTATTGCTGTAGTTCCCTAAGTAATGAAGCCATGAGCTTGACACTCTTTTCCCCTCTGTAATCCACTTGATGGCAAAACAAAAAAAAAACACACAAAACAGGATCCTCTCCATTAGGTTTAACCATTTACTTAAAAAATATAAGGTTATGAAATATCCATCAAAAATAAAATAATAAAAGAAGATTAGAACAAATGTAAATGAGGTCAAGAAACTGTGTGGCTCCACTCCAATTAGCTGACTAACACAGAATCAGAAGCCAAAGTCCTTAACATCCAGGAACTCGCTGATGAGCAACAAAACAGGTACATTTGCAAAAGAACTTCAGTACAATTAGAAATATTGAATATATTTACACTTGCAAACTTTTTACTTTCTGATAAATACTGTAACTTATTAATGATTCCTTTTATCTTAACTTAAACTGAATTAGCTCCTACTATTGCTCTACAATAGGATGCTTCTGCAACATTTGTCAAAGTCTACCTGAAAGAGTTTTTTTTTTCCTTCTTTCCTGAACTGCTAACCTCCTATGGAAGCCCGTTTCCGCCACTCTAAAAAAAAAAATATCTCATTATAATGAGAAAGTAACTCAATATTTATATTGAGATACTATCTCATTATATTGAGACACTATCTCATTATATTGAGATACTATTATTGTACTATTATCTCATTATGAGATAAATTATTGTTATTATTTTTTTGTGGTGGAAACTGGCTTCCATAGAAATGCCTCATTAGCTATGATTGTAGGCTGGCACAAGAAGAAAAAATAAGACTCTGTTGTTTTGAGTTTGGTTATGATGCTTGGAGAATTACCACCAGATTAATAAAAGATTGGATTTTGATTTTGGCCAGAAAATCACCAAAAGGAAAAGAATTATTGATCATTTTCTAAGTGCAGAAGTTTTAGTTTTACTTGAGTTATATAGTGAAAAAAAACCTTTCTGTCAACTTCTTTTAGTGTATGAATATTAATTGCTTCCTGAACTGCAGTAACTTCTGTAAGTTGATTTTATAATGTGAGGTTTTCAAGAGTAGGAAGTCAAAATTATCAAACCTACATAAAAAAGCTAAGAAATCAATTTGTTGGCTCATGTCAGAGTCATGTCTCTCTTGCAGTGTGGCGCTGCTGCACCCTGATCCCCTGCTTTGTTAAATTCAGTCTGTAGATAAACAAAGTGAAGGGAGATCAGTTGTCATAGTTGTGAGGCATTCCACTCAGAAGTGTTTTTATTTTTAGCCCAGAGCCATGATCTGTCTTTATCTGATCCCATGCAATTGTGCCAGAGTGTGAGGTTGTGTTCCTCTCTTACTGTAGTTAACATAACCTTAAGGCACATTTAAAAAAAAAAAGCTAACGATGGGAAATTACAAATCCAGACCATCTCAGACGTGCACAGGTAAGGAGTTTCTCTGGTGTCATTTTGGGATTATCAACATTTATTATTATTGTTGTTTTTATTATGCTCACCACACTTCTTATCCAAGACCTAGCTGTCATTATTTCTTATGTAAATTTCTAAACAGGTCGCTACATGTATGTAATGCTATGTAATGTTAAATGATGTTTGTGATAAATGTGATATAAAGATGAGTGGAAGAAGAAGGTGGGGGAGTCTTACTCTGTGATCATTGAGAAGTTGGACGACGACTTCCAGCTTCCAGAAAGCGCCCTGGCAGACCTTCACCTCGCTTTCAGGTAACCCACCTTCCCATCCCTTCCATAGAAATAACCACTGACCCTCTTAGGAGATCGAGCACAGCTCAATCTCTGTGGAGTTAGGATTTTCACAAATGTTTGATTTTAATTTGGGATTTCAATGGTCTGTGATTCAGCTCGGATGAGGCTTTTCAGAAGGTGAACGTGAACTACCGAACGGAGAAGGGGCTGTCTCTGCTGCATCTCTGCTGCGTGTGTGGAGGTATGCATGACTGCTGGAGTCTATTAATAACGCCTCTGCAAAATGTGGCAGTGGAAGGAAGGATTACTGTGGCACCCACTGACATTATTGTGTGTAGATGACCTTTCTGTTTTCAGACAGGTGGAGAAATCAAAAGTAGAGCAGCATTGATTACATCTGCTTACTCCCTTCCATAAGGTTTTACTGGGTATTGTTATAATTAGTTCATGATATCATCCATGTGTGCCCAGGAAATAAGGCTCACATGCGTACCCTGTTGCTCAAAGGCCTGCGTCCTTCTAGACTAACTAGGAATGGTTTCACTGCACTCCACCTGGCTGCTTATAAGGTGGGCCAACTCTTCCTCAAGTATTTGCTGCCCTTATTTTGATCTATCTAGAAACATTTTGAGTTTTACCACATGGTGGAGTGAAAGTGCACAAAAAATGGCATAGCAGCTGCCTCAGGTCTTGGTGTGTGTCTGTGCTGCAGGACAACGCAGAGCTGGTGACTGAACTCCTGCATGGTGGATCAGACGTGCAGCAGGTGGGATACGGGGCTCTCACAGCTCTGCACGTTGCAACACTGGCAGGACATCGAGAGGTGAGAGGGGGGGTCACTATCCTACATGCATCCCATTCCACCTGCTTTTCTGCAACCAGAATGAATCTGCCACGTTGGAACCAGAAAAAGAGACAGACTTGTTCCTTTCTTAGCATTTCTCTAAACTGAATTTCTGTCAAAAAAAAAAGGTTAATTAAGCTTTTGGGATATTTAATATAATGTTTTTCAAAAGTATTTATCCTTCTTCAACTTTCAAATATTTGTTAAGATATTCATTTTCAAATTAACCCTAAAAAGAGTATGTGTGTTTGCTTTCAGCTCTCTCAATTCAACACATTATAAAACCGTATTTTACAGCTAAGCTTTTCTGTGTGTCTGTGTCAGATTTTACAGTTTTTATTTTTGCACAATTCTTGCCCCAGCTTATCAGTTGGATTTAGGTCTGGACTTCCACAGTTTAGTCTAAAACATTAACATTCCTTTTCTTTCATTTATTTTCTTCCTTCCTCCTCCATAACCTCCGACCATCTTCCCAAGAGTGAGGCAATATTGTATATTGGGCAAAGTTAATGTTTGCTGTCTCCGTCATTTCTAATGAAAACTGTAAATGAAACTTCTTATAGCTCGCTTTAAACAGGGACTTTTTACAGCTGTCCCCCTGCAATATTTTCCAACCTGAGCTGTACATTTCAGCAGCTCATCCAGGGTTCCTACAGGCCTCTTTGCTGCTTCTTTTGCTCATCCAGCCTACCTTATGAAAATCCATATCTTGGAAGTTTAAGGACCTTGTCACACCTTTTCAGTTTTAAGATGCATAATGTTCTGGTAGGTCTTCAAAGCTTGTGATGCTGGTTTGCAGCCTAATATTCTGCTTTAGATTAATCTTTACCATCTCTGCTGGGTTCCTTGGTACTAGTAAAGCTTTTGGACACTAATGTTCAATAAGCACCATCTACTGGTAAATTGTTTACATAGAATTTTATTCAGATTTTAAGAGTAAAGATGACTAAGTGTAAAAAAATTATAACAAGTTTAAATATTATTCCATTGTTAAAATGCAATCTCTAGCTGTACTTTTGATTTTTTATCTCTTAAAAAACATGGACGACTTATTTTTGAATCCACAATATTAGTCCAATTATAGAGTATCATTGTACCTTGTAGTAACTACTTTATTTCCCTTAGAAAGCCTCTCTGATCAACCTATTACTCCCCGTCTACTTAAACATTCATTACTTGTTGATTTTAATGGCTTTCTGTTGATTGGCTTATCATAATAACATGCCCAACATAATTTACCTTGGATCCATTTGCTAAATACACTTACAATATATAATTGATTGTTATTTCTTCATGTAGGTTGCTGATATACTCCTGCAGAATGGAGCTTTTGTCAATGTGCAGGATGCTGTGTTTTTCACTCCGCTACATATTGCCTCCTACTACGGTCATGAAGAGGTTGATATCTCAAAACTCTCTACAGAACATGAGCCAGAAAATATAAAACAAAATGTACCTTTTCCGAACTCTTATGTACATTCTTTTTGCTTTCAAGGTGGCAAAGCTTCTGCTGAAGTTTGGGGCAGATGTGGATGCTGGTGGTGAGGTGGGTGACCGGCCGCTGCACCTGGCTGCAGCTAAAGGATTTCTTGGCATCATCAACCTGCTGGTGGGAGACGGGAACAAGGCAAATGGTAAATCCAGATTACCGTAGAATACCATCATTGTTAATCAAGCATAACTTGTCCTCATAATTTATGTTTAGCTTGTCTGACAGCTGTGCAGCAGCAACAGTGTAAACCAGCTAATATCAATTTACATGTTAGGAACAGTTATTGACGTTTGCTCTCTTTTAACCAGTCAACGCACGAGACAATGAAGAACATGTTCCTCTCCATTTCTGCGCCCGCTTTGGTCACCCTGAGATTGTTCATTTTCTTCTCGAAGGCAGCAGTGAAGTTCAGCCTCATTCTGTCAACATCTACGGGGATACACCGCTACACTTGTAAATATGTGCTCCATGGAGGTCGGTCTTCCCGCAGCTTGCAGTTTTTGACTTGATTTCTTTGTGTGAATATGTTTCATCAGGGCCTGCTACAATGGCAAATTTAGCGCTGTGAAGGAGATGATACAGTTCTCTGGTACAGAAAGTCTGTTAAAGGAGAACATATTTAGTGAGACACCACTTCACAGGTACAGAGGGACAACTGTTCAATAATATTATTCAATCTGAGGGGATGTTAACTAATCTCTAATATCACAGTGCATGTACCTATGGCAAAGACCTAGAGATGGTCAAATTCCTGCTGGGCCAGAACGCCATGAGCATCAATCATCAGGGCAGAGACGGCCATACTGGTATTCCTCAGATGCTTAAAAATGAACATACGCTTGTTAGCTTTTGCATGAAAAATTAAACTCAAATCCTCATATTCAGCTCTTCATAGCGCCTGTTTCCACGGCCACATCCGTCTGGTGCAGTTTCTGCTGGACAATGGGGCTGACATGAACCTAGTGGCCTGTGACCCCAGCAGGTCCAGTGGGGAGAAGGAAGAGCAGACATGCCTGATGTGGGCTTATGAAAAAGGTGTGTTTATAAGTGCCTTTCAACTTATTAATTTTGCCCTAAGTTGTTTTTTTATGCATGTAGACATTACAGCCATAAACTGTAATGTCTCTTATTACAATTTAATCCGACAGACTAACACAAAGTAGTTAAATTATGAAGTAGATAAAATATTGACATTTTTAAACAATTTAAAAGGGAAAATCCAGAGTAATCTGTTTTAATCTCAACTTAAATCCTTCTGTTCTTAGCAGGCTTCCGACGAAACTAGTTTACAGGTCAGAGAAAAAGTAGTGAGGACTTTTAAAGCAGGGTCCAGTTCTAAATCAATGAACTAAGCTTTCATAATTTAAATGAGAAAAATTAAAGCCATTATCTATAAAAAAGAAAGAGGATACATAACTACAAACCTATGAAGACTTGATCATGCACCTAAATTGAAAAGATGAACATACGGTAGAACATTATTTAGAAAAAAAAAGGTGGGAGAATCTGCAGGACAATCCTAGAAGATAACATGTTAAGGAAAGGTTCATGTCTGACATGAAGGATAATCTTCCAGAAAGAAAATGATGATAAATACTGTAAGACCAGAGCTACAGTGAGAAAACAGTTCTAAACATCCTAACAATCCAGAATGAGCTTAAGGCCACTGGAAAGGATGAATTGGCACCAAGTTCAACCTCTAGCTGTGCAAAGCTGGTAAGGCTTGCATCTGTTTTAACATACTTCCCCAAAGTGTTGACTTAATGCAAATGCATCCCACGCTTTTCAGATATACATGTTCTGTATTACTTTACAGTTAGGAGATAACCACTTTCGTTGGTCTATCACAAAAGATACACATAAAAACAATAAAGTTGTGGTTGTAAATGGGACAAAATATAAGAAGGTTTAAAGAAATCTAAAGAATGTCTAAGAACCTGTTAGAAGAGTGCTTATATAGATCTATACAAATGCTTCACCTTGTGTTTGCCAGGTCATGATGCTATTGTCACCTTACTTAAACACTACAAACGTCCAGACGATTCTCCATGCAATGAATACTCCCAGCCAGGAGGAGGTTAGGAAAACTCCAATTAACTGTCAATTGTACAGGTGCTGGTCATAAAATTAGAATATCATGAAAAAGTAGATTGATTTCAGTAATTCCATTTAAAAAGTGAAACTTGTATATTATATTCATACATTACATACAAACTCATATATTTCAGATGTTTATTTTGTTTAATTTTGATGATTACAAATGACAACAAATGAAAATCTCAAATTCATCATATCAGAAAATTAGAATATTGTGAAAAGGTTCAAAATTGATGGCCCCTGGTGCCACACTCTAATCAGCTAATTAACTCAAACCACCTGCAAAAGCCTTTAAATGGTCTTTCAGTCTAGTTCTATAGGCTACACAATCATGGGGAAGACTGCTGACTTGACAGTTGTCCAAAAGACGACCATCGACACCTTGCACAAGGAGGGCAAGACACAAAAGGTCATCGCTAAAGAGGCTGGCTGTTCACAGAGCTCAGTGTCCAAGCACATTAATAGAGAGGCGAAGGGAAGGAAAAGATGTGGTCGAAAAAAGTGTACAAGCAAGAGAGATAACCGCACCCTGGAGAGGATTGTGAAACAAAACCCCTTCAAAAATGTGGGGGAGATTCACAAAGAGTGGACTGCAGCTGGAGTGAGTGCTTCAAGAACCACCACACACAGACGTATGAAAGACATGGGTTTCTGCTGTCGCATTCCTTGTGTCAAGCCACTCTTGAACCACAGACAGCGTCAGAAGCGTCTTGCCTGGGCTAAAGAGAAACAGGACTGGACTGCTGGTGAGTGGTCCAAAGTCATGTTCTCTGATGAAAGTAAATTTTGCATTTCCTTTGGAAATCAAGGTCCCAGAGTCTGGAGGAAAAGAAGAGAGGCACTTCATCCACGTTGCTTGAAGTCCAGTGTAAAGTTTCCACAGTCAGTGATGGTTTGGGGTGCCATGTCATCTGCTGGTGTTGGTCCATTGTGTTTTCTGAGGTCCAGGGTCAACGCAGCCACATACCAGGAAGTTTTAGAGCACTTCATGCTTCCTGCAGCTGACCAACTTTTTGGAGATGCAGATTTCATTTTCCAACAGGACTTGGCACCTGCACACAGTGCCAAAGCTACCAGTACCTGGTTGAAGGACCATGGTATCCCTGTTCTTAATTGGCCAGCAAACTCTCCTGACCTTAACCCCATAGAAAATCTATGGGGTATTGTGAAGAAGAAGATGCAATACACCAGACCCAACAATTCAGAAGAGCTAAAAGCCACTATTAGAGCAACCTGGGCTATCATAACACCTGAGCAGTGCCACAGACTGATCGACTCCATGCCACGCCGCATTGCTGCAGTAATACAGGCCAAAGGAGGCCCAACTAAATACTGAGTGCTGTACATGCTCATACTTTTCATGTTCATACTTTTCAGTTGGCCAACATTTCTATAAATCCTTTGTTTTTATTGGTCTTCGGTAATATTCTAATTTTCTGATATGATGAATTTGAGATTTTCATTTGTTGTCATTTGTAATCATCAAAATTAAACAAAATAAACATCTGAAATATATGAGTTTGTATGTAATGTATGAATATAATATACAAGTTTCACTTTTTAAATGGAATTACTGAAATCAATCTACTTTTTCATGATATTCTAATTTTATGACCAGCACCTGTATATAAAAAAAAAAAGAAACAAAATAAAAAAATCTTCCATCATGTCTGATTTTGTGCTTTTGTTTTCAGATGGCTCCTACGTTTCAGTTCCATCGCCTCTTGGAAAAATTAAAAGCATGACTAAAGGTAATGAGGCGGAGTGGAGCCCGACATATTTCCCCCAACCCACACTTTGTTTGTTTCCAATGAAACGGGTTCAGATGCTAATCCTAACACATAAAACACACATTTTTTTTTGACTTTTCAAATTAAATTAGATAATTTTGTTATCAAATTTACTTAAAAAATAAGGCCAAAACAATAGAAAGATCATTTATGACATTGTTTAAAAGGATAATAAAAAAAGCCCACAAAGATAAAATGCAAACTTCAAAATGGATTTATGCTTGTTTTCTTAGAATAAAATCGGAATTATTTTTATTTAGGTTTTATTCAGTTTAATCACTATTCCCCAGCCTGTTGCAGGTAGTGTGTAACTTGGATGCTGACTTTAAATAAAGCTTTTTGTTCCTGAGCATTTCCAACTGGAGTTAATGACACATTTTATTGTTCTTCCAGAAAAAGCTGAAGTGCTTGTGCTCAGGGCCAGCCTTCCATCTCATTTCCACCTTCAGCTGTCTGAGCTGGAGTTTAATGAAATTATCGGATCGGGTAGGTCCATTCGTCTTTGTTTTTCCTGTCAGCTAATGTGCTTGAAAATCTGATAATACTATTGATGAGCGTATGCGTTACACATGCAGGCTCCTTTGGGAGAGTCTACAGAGGCAAATGCAGAAACAAAATTGTCGCCATAAAACGGTATTTTTCTTCCCACACAGACAAATAAGTGATTTTGTATCTAAGTGAGGAATTACTCAATTCCTTCTACTTTTTTTTCTGTTTTAACAGCTATAGAGCCAACACATACTGCTCTAAATCGGATGTGGACATGTTCTGCAGAGAGGTTTCTATCCTGTGCCGCCTCAATCATCCCTGCATCATCCAGTTTGTAGGGGCGTGCCTGGATGACCCCAGTCAGTTCGCCATTGTTACCCAGTACGTTTCTGGAGGCTCGTTGTTCTCCCTGCTGCATGAACAGAAGAGGTGAGAACAAGTAAAGCACAAATGCACACAAACTTTTCACTCTCTAACAACTATCAGAGCTTGTTAATCCTGTGTCCCTTACTGTAGCCACTGTTTACTATCTCCTGTTAACTAGACAATTAAACAACTGCAAACAGATAAAACCAGCAGGGATACTAAAAAGATTGTTACTTAAAAGGACTGAATGAGAAACAGAAAAATAATTATGAAATGTTCAGACAAGGATAAACCAAAAATACTCCCTGAAGACGGAACAAAACAAGAAGTACTCAACAATACAGAAAAGGGGTGTTGCAAAGGCAGGAGAAAGTCTATAGTGATATAACCCCACGGCACCAACATCATGTATTTTAACCACAAATACAGATGCAAATACAAATACAAATGATTTAAATAGCAGGGTAAAAAAAGTTTATGAAATCAAATCATGAAATGTAGTTCCTCTTTTAAACCTTAATGTTGATGCACCAGTAGTATCTTCCACAGTAAGATTTAAAAGTTACAGTCTTATTTCTAAGTTTTGAGGCTGTTTAAATCTTTTTGTACCTTTCTTAGAAAATCCATTTAATAATCTTCAGTGTTAGTGTTACTGAACTTATGATTTAGTAGGTGGTCTAAAGAATAAAGAAAACAATTAAACCTTCACCAAGCAATGAGTCATATTATATTATATTATATTATATTATATTATATTATATTATATTATATTATATTATATTATATTATATTATATTATATTATATTATATTATATTATATTATATTATATTATATTATATTATATTATATTATATTATATTATATTATTGGTATTGGAATCAAAAGAGCTTTGAAAAACAGTCCACCAATAATACATTGTTATTTACATCAAGATACAAGCTATTTGAGTGTAATACTAAATGATTATCCATTCTAAATATGGAAAACAGTGCCCCTTGCAATTTTTTTCCATTCATTTGTAGTAGGATTAGATAATAAAGGTAGAAATATTTCCACTCATCATCTTCCAGTTTATCCGGGACCTGGTCGCGGGGTAATCAGTCTCAGTAGGGACTCCCTGATTTTCCCCTACCCAGAGACCTTCTTAGACCTTATCTTAAACCTATTCTTAGACCGAGGTTCCTTTAGCCTAATTAAGAGACATTGTTCCTCCCATTGTGTCCTGGGCCTCGTTCTGGTGGGACATGCCTGGAAAACTTCCTAAGGCAGGTGTCCAGGGGGCATCCGAAAAAGATGTCTGAGCCGACTCCTCTCAATGTGGAGGAGAAGCAGCTATATTCCTAGCTTCTCCTGGATGACCAAGCCTCTCATCCCTAAGGGAGAGCCCAGCCATTATAGTAGCAGCTGCACCAATCCGTCTATTGCTCCACTCTCCCTTCACACATGAACAAGAACCAAAGATACTCGAACTCTTCCTCTCGATGCAAAAAATCTTCTCCAACCTGAAGGCAGCAAGCCACCTTTTTTCTGGTTGGCAACCAAGTCGTTGGCATTGGAGGAGCTGATCTCATCCCGGCCGCTTCACACTAGATTTAGGCAACCGGGATCCAGCAGGACCAAAAAGAAGAGACCAGATCCGCTGCTCTCCAAACCAGACCCCTCTGGACCTGGGCTGGGCCTAGAAATCCCATCTATAAAATCATGAGCTACGGCTACAAATAATCCAAAATATAAGGGGCAGATATCTAAAAGCTTAGGATAAAGTTCTTTTATTTCTCTATTATACTTATCAACATTTAGCCAGAGTTACTACAGGTGCTGGTCATAAAATTAGAATATCATGAAAAAGTTGATTGATTTCAGTAATTCCATTTAAAAAGTGAAACTTGTATATTATATTCATACATTACATACAAACTCATATATTTCAGATGTTTATTTTGTTTAATTTTGATGATTACAAATGACAACAAATGAAAATCTCAAATTCATCATATCAGAAAATTAGAATATTGTGAAAAGGTTCAAAATTGATGGCCCCTGGTGCCACACTCTAATCAGCTAATTAACTCAAACCACCTGCAAAAGCCTTTAAATGGTCTTTCAGTCTAGTTCTATAGGCTACACAATCATGGGGAAGACTGCTGACTTGACAGTTGTCCAAAAGACGACCATCGACACCTTGCACAAGGAGGGCAAGACACAAAAGGTCATCGCTAAAGAGGCTGGCTGTTCACAGAGCTCAGTGTCCAAGCACATTAATAGAGAGGCGAAGGGAAGGAAAAGATGTGGTCGAAAAAAGTGTACAAGCAAGAGAGATAACCGCACCCTGGAGAGGATTGTGAAACAAAACCCATTCAAAAATGTGGGGGAGATTCACAAAGAGTGGACTGCAGCTGGAGTGAGTGCTTCAAGAACCACCACACACAGACGTATGAAAGACATGGGTTTCTGCTGTCGCATTCCTTGTGTCAAGCCACTCTTGAACCACAGACAGCGTCAGAAGCGTCTTGCCTGGGCTAAAGAGAAACAGGACTGGACTGCTGGTGAGTGGTCCAAAGTCATGTTCTCTGATGAAAGTAAATTTTGCATTTCCTTTGGAAATCAAGGTCCCAGAGTCTGGAGGAAAAGAAGAGAGGCACTTCATCCACGTTGCTTGAAGTCCAGTGTAAAGTTTCCACAGTCAGTGATGGTTTGGCGTGCCATGTCATCTGCTGGTGTTGGTCCATTGTGTTTTCTGAGGTCCAGGGTCAACGCAGCCACATACCAGGAAGTTTTAGAGCACTTCATGCTTCCTGCAGCTGACCAACTTTTTGGAGATGCAGATTTCATTTTCCAACAGGACTTGGCACCTGCACACAGTGCCAAAGCTACCAGTACCTGGTTGAAGGACCATGGTATCCCTGTTCTTAATTGGCCAGCAAACTCTCCTGACCTTAACCCCATAGAAAATCTATGGGGTATTGTGAAGAAGAAGATGCAATACACCAGACCCAACAATTCAGAAGAGCTAAAAGCCACTATTAGAGCAACCTGGGCTATCATAACACCTGAGCAGTGCCACAGACTGATCGACTCCATGCCACGCCGCATTGCTGCAGTAATACAGGCCAAAGGAGGCCCAACTAAATACTGAGTGCTGTACATGCTCATACTTTTCATGTTCATACTTTTCAGTTGGCCAACATTTCTATAAATCCTTTGTTTTTATTGGTCTTCAGTAATATTCTAATTTTCTGATATGATGAATTTGAGATTTTCATTTGTTGTCATTTGTAATCATCAAAATTAAACAAAATAAACATCTGAAATATATGAGTTTGTATGTAATGTATGAATATAATATACAAGTTTCACTTTTTAAATGGAATTACTGAAATCAATCTACTTTTTCATGATATTCTAATTTTATGACCAGCACCTGTATATCAGAAACTTCAGAAGACTCAGGTAAAGGCATGGAAAATCTTCTTGAGGACTACTTGACAAAGCGCAAATAGTCACATGTGTGAGTGTGAGCACGAGGCCACCAGGACAGGAGCATCACAGGGTACTGCAATTCCACCTCTTCTTTTCTCTCCACACATCTCTGGCTTTGGGCACAAATCTGATTCCTGTCATCAGAAGAAATAATTGGATGACTTAGTAATTGTCTAGTCATTCAGATATGGACAAGAGGGTGACTACAGACACCTGATATACCACTTTGGCATGGTTTGGGAACAATAAAATCTTGAATGTGAAGGAGTAGAAAGAGACGATTCATGATATCATTAGATGCAGGATTATATCAAACACCATCAAACTGTTCAGGTTTTTATTACAGAAAGTTAAGTGGGATTTGATGTAGTCTTTTGTGTTCAAATGATTTTAGAAAGAGTGTATGCATTGCCAGTATAAGTTCAGGTGGAGCTCAGCACATTACTTTAAAGTTAGAAAAAAAATACAGTTTGTCTGTAAAAGATTAGGCAGTAATTATTTGGTCTTGTAGAATAAGCACATGTTTCCACTAAGCATCTGACAGGCTTAGGTCTCATTAACAGCTGTGCTAGCATCAGTCCACCAATCTCTGCCCCTCAGCCGAGATCATTATTGATCCAGATGAAGTGTTCCGCTAACTGTGTGGCCAGGTGCTGTCTTTATAGACTGTCCTATTGATCTGTGTAAAGTGCTGTGTGTGATTGGCAGAGGCCATTGATCCAGCTCTAAGTGGTTGCTGCTTTAATATGTGTCAATGGACAGGCTCATCGACTTGCAGTCCAAGCTCATCATCGCCATCGACGTAGCCAAGGGCATGGAGTACCTGCACAACCTCACCCAGCCCATCATCCACCGGGACCTCAACAGGTTAGTGTCACAGTAATAACATGTGCGCCGGGAGTTGGTTTGGGTTTTAAATAACTACTGATGTTACAAACAATGTTTGTCTTCCCTTCAGTCACAATATCCTGCTCTATGAGGATGGACATGCAGTGGTGGCTGATTTTGGAGGTCAGGATGTCTTTTCTTTAAATTTAAAAACTTAAGATCAGTTGATCCAGAACAGTCTTCCATTAAGTCAGGAAATCCATGATAACTGTGTTCAACACTAAAACCTCTGGCAGAATCTGATCTCTTTCACAAAGAAGTTAAGAAGGTGAAAATTTTAAGCCAAAGTAAACCGAGTGGCTCAGTGTTTTTCAGAGTTGTTGACTTTGCAGCAATCCCCCACACCGCAGCGACAGTGAAAAAAGTACTTTCCTTTTAACAGAAATAAACTTCTGGCAGAATCAGACACAGTGTGGGGGGCCTTCTGCCAAGGTCAACAGGGGGTTCAAGAAGGCAGATGCAGACACACAAAAGGAACACAAAGGCACTGATGTACATTCACTTTTTTATGTTAGAAAATGTAGCAGTAAATTAGCTCCATAGGTAGTTCTATCTAGGAAAGAAACAATTTAGCAGATGAAGTCTGCATTTCATGTCATAAAGGATGAGAGAGACCACATAAAGCTAGGGGTTCACTTAAAAAGAATTGGAATGAAGAACTGGAAAACGAATTAAGCAGAATGATAAAAAGGGGTCCCTATGTCCTCCAGCAGCCTAAGCCTATATTAGCATAACAATAGCGATAGATAAGGATAACTCAAGCCACTCTTACTATAAGTTTTGTCAAAAAGGAACATTTTAAGCCTTGCCTTAAAACTGGGCATAGTGTCTTACTGACTAAAACTGGTTGTTGGTTCCTCAGGAGAAGAACCTGATGACTTAGAGATGCACCTCCCGTTTTGACTTTTAGAAATTCTAGGAACCCCTTGAAACCTGCAGATATAGAGCTATGTGCCTTGTTAGAAACATAAGGTACAGTCAGATCTTTGATATATGATGGAACTTGGTTATTTGGGGCTTTTAACGTGAGAAGGAGGATTTTAAATTCTATCCTGGATTGAACAGGAAGACAGTGAAGGGAAGCTAAAATAGAAGAAATGTGATCTCTCTTTTTAATTTTCATCTGAACTCCTGATTGTAAAGAACTGCAATGGTCCAGCCTTGAAGGTACAAATGCCTGGACTAGTTTTTCACTCCTGGACAAGATATGTTTAATTTTTATATTGTGGAGATTAAATAATTTATTTCTAGAAACCAGTTTGATATGAGATTTAAACAAAGAGTCCTGATAAAAAAATAACAGCATGTTTTTTTTTAACATTATTATTAGAGGCCAATTAAGTCATCCATATGAAATGACTGACCCAGAAGCTTCCTTTTCAAAGACTATGGTTGACAGACATTAACTTCTGTCCTGTCTGCATTCAAAAGCAGAAGATTATAAATAACATAAATCTTAATGGTACAACCCAAACACATCCTATTATCTAACAGCTTGAAGATGTTTTACGCATCTCTTACAGTTTTTTTTTTTTTTAAGAATTTTCAAACATTCTTTCCTAATATTGCTGAATTGAGATTTTCAGTTGTACATTTCTGTATTTGACATGATTTCGGATCAAGACTCTGGCGCAGCAGCAGTACGTACGACAGGAGAACTGGGTTTATTTTAAGGGTTTTTATTGTTCAGACTGGAAGCAGAGAAAACAGGAAAATCCAGAGCGGTGTCTCACTGCAAAACAGGTTAGGTGATCAGTATGAGTACCAGCTGATGTTGAGATGAACAGTGAGGCCAGACTTACTTCTCAGGGCTTGGAAATAGGTTGAGGGGGAGCAACAGTGTCCACAGAGAGGGGGAAATGAAGACCTTGGAGTTACCAGTTTCTTTAGGCGTTGGAGGGTGGACAGGCAGGCGAGTTCAGCTTTTGCAGATCTTGAAAGACAGCTCTTGGGGGAGGAGTGGAAAGCACCGTTGAGGGAGGAACAGGAGCCAGCCTTCAGCAGGAGGAAAACTAAAGAAAAACAGAGACAAGACTGGTAAGTAAGACTATCAGAACAAGTTCAACTTAACTTGGAAGTCTTGAAGAGGGACCCAGTTACCACTGGTATAGGTAACCATCTGTCGTCTGCCTCAGGGAATCCACTCCTCTAAATACTGCTTGCTTGATTGTGGCTGATGAGTAACAGCTGGGAGCCTCACCTGCCTGGCACACCCTGAAAATGAAGGGGAGAAAACAAACTCCAAACCAAAAAACCCAAACCTACAGTTCAACACACAGCAAATTCCAAACCTCTAGAGAAATCTCCAAAAATTGATGAAGACTCACTAATTGTTAAAAAGACAAATTTTGTTCTTTTCATGGTAGAAGTGATTAATTGTACTGCACAGACAACAAAAAAAACTGAAAAAATCAAAATAATAGTGAAGGCTGCAGAAAAATATCTGGACATTAAAGATTTGAACTGGGAGATGGTTGGAAGCATGATGGGAGGACCGATGGGACCATCAGAAACTGGCAGAATTACGATGACCTAGAGTAAATTAAAATTATATGGGCAAATGTGATTTAGTATTATGTTGGTTTAAGTTACACAGGTTTTTTTTTTTTTTTTTTTTTTTTTTTTTTTTTTTTTTTTTTTTTTTTTTTGGGGGGGGGGGGGGGGGGGTGAATCGTTTCCTGTTTTCTTGCTTTACTCCATATCAGTTGGTGGCGGTAATGCACAATTCACAAGTCTGCCAACCGCCATAAAATCTCATAAGAAGAAGAAGAAGAAACTCCAAACCAAAGCAGCTCTGTGAACACAACAGTATTGTTCCCATCACAACCTTTAAGTCCAGGTGCAGTTGATTGCAACGGTTCAACAGAATTGCCAATTTCAAGAACGGTAAACTTGGTATTGATCTGTTAATTAGTGCATCTGAACAGAAGAATTGGCAACAGTCCCTCCTCATTATGATTGCAGCTGCAAGGTTGGACATGGACTTGTATTCACTATTTCAGCCTCATCTTTGATAAGTAGATGAATACAGAAAAGTTCATTTTAGGCTGTTTGCTTTGTAACATGTATACATTTCCAAGAATGTGTTTTTGATGAGGAAAAAAAAAAGAATCAAAGGAGCTATTGCTTATTATGAGAATAGTTGACCTTTGTTTAACCTTTTAATATCTAACTCTCTCTTTACAGAATCCAGATTTTTGCAGTCGGTAGATGAAGATAATTTGACAAAGCAGCCAGGGGTCAGTGAGATTTGCCCCTTTTTAGTAATGATTTTATGATATTATTTAGATTTTACTCCATTTTCTACCCAGGCAGCTCTAATACTAGCTACAACAAACAAGCCATATTTGTGCTGTTATTTTGTTGAAGCCCAAGTCAGAGCTTCTCCTGGCACCTGCCATCAATTACCCACCAGCTAAAAAAGAAAAGTGCCTCCATGCAGAATTTGTGTGGATATGCTGACTCAGTGCTACATAGTGCTTTGCCTGCAGTTTGACGTTAAGTGTGTTGCATCTCAGTGGAGCCGCCTGTTGTTTCCAACTCCTTCCCTTTACTAGGACTCTGTGTTTATCACAGTAATTGGCCTATATTTCACCTATGTGCAATGCATGTAGGTATTTTACCTGACTTAATGTTTTAAAACACTTCAGTCTTTTCCTCACTAAAACCTTTTCTGCAAGCCCCAAATTTGAGCATCCCTCTACCTGCTGCGTTTTGGTTGTGCAGAACCTGCGATGGATGGCTCCTGAGGTGTTCACACAGTGTACCCGTTACTCTGTGAAGGCAGACATGTTCAGCTACGCCCTCTGTCTGTGGGAGTTGCTAACTGGAGAAATCCCTTTTGCTCACCTTAAACCAGGTACTTTTCTATCGTCTCTTAACAACTGCAGAGGAATATTAACCTATGTAATATTTAATTTTATAAGATTATCTCACTTACATTTATGCACACCTTTAAAAATGAAATAAAAAGTAAACATAAATACTATATAACCTAAGTACTAGTAATTAAACCTTCTAGGGCCTTTTATTAATGATCCATGGCTGTTTTTCATGAGTATTAGCATGACATGACAAAGAGGTTTAAGTTTATCTTGTTACCTTTTTCACTGAGCTGGATAATAATAGAAACAACAGTCTTTTCTAGTGAACGTTGTAGCAAAAAACTGACCACTTGGTAGCAAAGATCTGACCCCAGGAGGAACTGTACGCTTGTTTGGGTGTTATAAAGGATCTGTAATGCTGTGGGCCAGTTTCCGCCTCCAAAGCCTCTGTGAATGTTATTAAAGTGCACTGCTTAATGAAGTCTTTAAAATACCAGCATACATGGAAAATCTGGTAGACTCTACCCAAAACAAATATATGGTAATAAAACTAAATTGCAACAGACCCATTCAGCAGGATAATCAACTGAAATGGTAATTGTTCATAAGACACAACCTTTTTCCATGAATGAAAAAACAAAAGACAAAAAAAAAAAAAAAAAAAAAAAACGGAAAAAAGAAAAAAGACTTAGTGCTCTTCTTTGGCAAAGAATAACATTACAAGATGGTTCCACTAAATTCATTTATATCAGGGCAAAGCTAGTTAAAAACAATTTGATGATTATGAGTGTGATGGTGGTAGCCTCAGACACCACATTGTGTTTAGTTCATTATCACAATAGGAAACTGATAACTAACAAAATGCAATTTATCTCGTTTATGTTTAATTGTATGCTTACGTTTAATTACATGAAGAAGAAATAAACATTTTCATTAAAATCCCTGCATAATTGTAAATTTTTAAACAGAGCTACAGTGTTAAACTTGTAAAAAAATCTTTTTCACATCTAAGTTTCAATTGTTGCTCTTTTCCTCAGCTGCAGCCGCTGCAGACATGGCTTACCATCACATCCGGCCTCCTATTGGCTACTCTATCCCCAAGCCAATCTCTGCACTTCTGATGAGAGGCTGGAACTCCTGCCCGGAAGTAAATGACTTTATCTCTGATATTCGGATTTCATGTACAAAGTAGCATTATTCACATTTTTCTAAACTTGTGCAAAAAGATCTTTTTTCATCTACTACGTTTTGCACTGTTTAGCATATGCTCATCTTATTGTTGATACACATTAAGATAAGGATAATTTCATTAATTTCTAAAGCTCCTAAGTGTATAATAATGCAGAGTCAGTTGGTCATTAATGTCTATGCAATGCTGACAAATGATAGAATCAGGTCTGCTGATGATACATCATTGAGCTGTGTTTTCATGGAGGAACACATGGGATTTGCAGGGTCCTCCCACTGTTCTATGATGATCATAATTATCCAGGACATTTTTCCACTCTGCCTCATTAAGTTACATTATTTTGCAGCCAAACATGCTGGCACCACATTTCCCTCTGTGACAGATCTTCTTCCTGTGTGTCAATTAAGGGCGTCCAATAAATCCCCTATTTGCCTGCCTTAGAGATATCTGTGAATCACTGCGAGTATATGAACAGATCAAGTTATCTAATTCAACCCTAACTGGAAACATTGTTCTTAATTTTCCAAAAACAAAATGATTCATGTCAAACATGCCTCTATTGCCTCTTAAGTGGTTTGATTTGCTGAATTGCAGTCTGGCTGCTGAATCTCGATGTAAAGGTCCCAGGGGGCAGTGTTTGTTGTTTTACACCAAAGCATGAGATCTAAGGCTTCCCTTTGAGAAGCAGAGTTCACATTTGCTTCACATGTGGAAGGACCCTAAATAAAAAAAAAAAAAGAGCAATGGAACAGACACCTGTGCATTTTTTTTAGAGTAAGATTGATCCCCCAGGAAAAAAAACAACAAAATAATTGTTTGCTTCTCTCTGATTTTAGGACAGACCTGAGTTTTCTGAGGTGGTTTCCAACTTGGAGGAATGTCTGAGCAACATTGAGGTTTGTAGCATATAGTTCTGTCAAAAAGAAAAGGAATTCATCCTTCCAGATTTGCTGCATGTCCCTGCTAAATGTTTCTGATCTTCAAAAAGATTTTTTTAACACATCATAAAAATAACGTAGTAAATACAAAATACAGTTTATCAAGAATTGATTTCTTTTGATATGTGAAAACAACACAAACCAGAAAAGCCCTACATGGAAACAGCCTAGTAAAGTAGTTGCACTTTTTCAAAACTACTATTAACCTTATTAGATAACAGGTCAGGGGTCTTGCTGGTTTCTCGAACATAAGCTGTGTCTTTATGGATATAAGTCCAAACTTTGACTTGGGCATTTCTAAAAAAAAACACTTAGCTTGAGGTCACAAACAAATAGTTCTATAATTATTGGATTAGAGTTGTCCATAATGTTTAACTTTTTTTTTTTCCAATTACAAAAATGGCTGTCTATATTTCTAATTTCCCCTGTTCTAATCTTTAACACCACTTTGACCAACTGCTGAATAAAACAGCAATATAATTTTTTTTTTTCTGTGTTGTGTTACAGTTGATGTCTCCAGCTTCCAGCAACAGCAGCGGCTCCCTTTCCCCCTGCTCCTCCTCTGACTGCTTGCTCGGCCGGGGAGGACCCGGCCGAAGCCATGTGGCTGCCCTGCGCTCCCGTTTTGAACTGGAGTATGCTCTCAACACCCGCGCCTATGCCTTCTGGACTCAGAGGTAAGAAAGATCAACTGCTTCCTTTGGCATCTGAATAACAAGAGGTCTGCAAGACAAGGGTCACTTCACTCATCCAGTGCTTTAGTACTGAATAGCTAATGCAGAATCTAGGTAAATAGTTGCCATAACGTTTGGGTGTTTTTTTTTTTTTTTTCTTGTCTAACATGTTTGTAACCAATACTTAACCTTTAAAAATTAACATTAGAAAAAAATGTTAAGTTCTTAATCCTTTCTAGGGCACTCAGTGAAATACTTTGAAAATCTAAATGTCAAGCCTATGGTGTTATTGGAATCCAGGACAAGACCTTATTACCTTTGTAACATTCAAAAACTATGGATATTTTGATGGCAAAAATAAATGTCAATGTAATAATAACAAGAAATGCCATCTGGCCCAAATATATTAAGAAAAATAACAAAATATTTTCTTTAAGAAATTCATGAAAAACACCCTGAGAGTGGAAGAAACACATGTTTTTTGGTACAACATATCCTTGAAGGCATTAATGCTGATACTGGCAGTTACATTTTTTAGTTTATAAACCTAAATATAATTGTTATCCCAGCTTATTAACTTTTTTATATTACTTTTTAACTTTTAAAATTAGCTTTTTACCTTTTTTTCTTGACTTTTCAACTTTATTTACAGTAGGTAATATATCACTCAAGGGCTCTTTTAATTGATCGAATGCCAAAATAAGATGTACAGCCATGTAGCAGTATCTTTGCTGAATGGCTGGATATAGATCTTGTGCTTCTAGACCTCACTGAGGGACAGGGGGACTCCATTTGTAAGGGGTATACAAGTGATCAAAAATGGTAACTTGCTCTATAAAGGGTTAAAACTGCATTCTCACCAACATAGCAAAATACATCCCTCATCTTTACACCAACAGACTAAACTAATTCTTGCCATATATACTGGTTGCTCTCATAGAGCAGGATTTATCAGAGGGTACCTACAGAGTGGCCTACCTGCAGCTCTCACCTTAACCACATCTGCAGCTCTCACCTTAACCACATCTGCAGCTCTCACCTTAACCACATCTGCAGCTCTCACCTTAACCACATCTGTAGCTCTCACCTTAACCACACCAGGAGGCTGCAGCTCTCACCACATTGACTGACATACAGAAAATAATCTGCAAAGCACTGGATGCCATCCTGCAGCAGTGTGTACAAGCTGTTGACCAACTTACTAAGTTTCCAGACTGATGTGCCTTTGTATGATCCTCTCACACACTACTAAGAGCCCTTTGTTGTTAAATGAGAAAACTGATAAATTGCTAATATGCTTCTTTTTGTCTGACTTCAATCATTCAATCCAATAAATGTTGAAAGGAGAATATGCTGTTGCTATTGGCAGAGAGGATTTGGCAGGTTAGGCATTGGCCCAACACTTTCCTGTCCTGCTAAAACATAAAATGGACATACTTGCAAACTTGTCACTATTTAGAGGGAAATAAATTAGTTTTCCAAAGTTAATAGATTACCTGATAAGAAGCAAGAAATAACTGACCAGACCCAAATGTTATTATTGTTTGTGTTAAGTTAATGTCAAACTAAACTTTAACACAAGTTTTAATTGAATCCAGTCTCTTCTTGGTTGTAATTTCTTAAACACATTTAAAACAGTTTTCATTTAAACTTACAGAAAAGAAATTGGGAAATTCTCTGGGCTATTTCTGATTCGTGGAACAAAGACTTTAATCTGTTTAAATAGTTATAAAAGGGTTGTCGCAGTGACCAGCTAAGCTGTGCAATGCAGAAGGGAACAATGGAGTTACTTGGTAACCAAAGAAGAAACAAGCTAAACAATAAGAAATATGTGTGGCATTCATATGAGGTCAGGTTTCTACTGGATACCTAGTTTTAAAGGTCTGCATGTAAATTAGACCATCTGGTAATGATAACTTTTGACTAGTAGAAAAAGATACGATTTTTGATCATGATGCTGACTCATCCAAAAATAAATGTGAATATAGTAGATAGCAGTTTTCATTCATTCTTTTTGTAGCTCAAAAAGCTATTGAAAAAATTTAGAGGTGAAAAATAGTGAGGAGAACCATTCTTTGAAGCAGTCTTGTAAATCTTTAAAAGTTGTCATTATTGTTTACCTTCAGAAGGAAAACATTTGTAATTTTTTTCTGTAAACTTGTTTAAATGCAGTTCCTGGAATAAACTTATTTATTTACAAATGAAGAGCTGAGGTTATTCATTTTCTCATTTTTAGTGAGCGTCGCCGAGCTTCTGGTGGCCTTTCACTGGAGGAAATTCGACGGAACATGCAGTTCTCTCCCATTGATCGAAACGGTTTGTTTGCATAACACATACAGTCCAACTTATGGATGTTTCCTTACACAAATGCACTCTACCTCATATGCAACGTGTAAAGATCAAATTCTATTTTCAAAATCTTTCTTTTTAAACAGCTTGAGCTTGTAGCTTAAAATAATTAGAGTAATTTAATGTTGAAAAATAAAAATGGTTCAAGAGTGAACTTAACTCTCAATGAATGATGTTACATAAATAACGCTCTTGAGTATCAGAGTAAAGAACAGTGTTGTAGTTTAGATGAAAGCATTAAAAGTAAAGCTTTCATCTTAAATGTGAGTTCAATATGCTGTTATCTGAGATCAGTTGCTGAAAATTTCCAGATAAAGATTCTTGGGAAAAAAGGGCAATAAAAAAGCAAAAAACAAATAAATAATAAAAAAAATTCTGAAACCGGTGAGGTACATACTGTAACTCATTGTTCTTGTCTGAACACCATTATCATCGGCTTTTCCCAAAATTGTTTATATTAGCCAGCTATCAAGTTGTTGTCTAACCACTCATTTTTTAAATGGATATTACAGAATATCTTTTTTTCAGTGTTTGATTGCACTATAGAAACAGAGACAAAACTTTAAAATGTTTTTTTCAATGTATCCCATGCCCTTAAGATTATACTTATGTGTCATTTGGACAGTTACTTAAACATTAGAGCTTCACATATGGTTGGAATTGCAGAAGTTCTATAGAAGACATCACGTAGAAGTGGCAGTAAATCACTCTCTTCTTACATTGGCATAAAAAGACATGAGCCGCTGCTGTAGCTAATTGTTGAGGGTAAAATCATTTTGGATAAATATTTGAAAATGGTGGTTTTTGATCTACTGAAAAGTAATCCACATTTATCGATCAGCATCTTCCACAGACAAGACTCATAAAAAGTATTAATACCAAAATTTCTAAAACTTTATGCAAACAAAGAGCCCCTGCAGTTGTTTTACTGGTCTGCCTGTCGATTCTCCTAGAGCTATATATCTATTGTAGCTGACCCCTGAGCAAGCATTGGGTCGCTACTTCCCTTGTATGCAATGAAGCATGATTTTTGACTAGAAACAACTGTTTTATTATCCTGGTGCACAAATTGTTTTGGATAGAAAAAACAAGCTAATTCATGCAAGATTACTCAGGAGGTTCATACCTCTCTGATTCCTGCCGTAATGTTAGAGACTAACCAAAATACTAAAACAAGTGATCTGGAGTGGAGATACTCCTCATTTCATGGTATGTTGATCCTCCTGAACATGTGATAAGGTGGGGACATAACTAAGTCTAAACTTTGCAATCTAGATTAATAAAGACATTACTCTTGAGTTTTCTGAACTGTCTGTGCTGCGTAAGTTTCAATCTGCCCTGTTCTCCAATTGTCTTTTACAAAATCATAAACTTTTCCAGAGTAGAGAAATGTTGCTGGGAGTGGTCACTGAAAGTGGATTTTAGTTTTTATTCCTGTGGGCTCATTGTTCAAACCAGAAAAGCCCATTAAAGTGCTCACTAGACAAAGCGTGAATTTGCTCCTTCTACGCTGACGCCAGTCGTGGAAGGGTGCTAACTTTAGCACATTACCTTACAATCACCACTCCCTTCTCCTTTCCAGCAGAAGCATAGAACAGAGATGTTGCAGGAATTCCGACAATTAGAGACTCACCTGCAGGCAGTCAATTAGTGTTGCTGCTTGTGTCATTTTTTTAAACCTATTATTATACCTATTAACCTAACCTATTAACCTACTATTATTTAACCAACATAGCAAACTGCTGATGTTGCTAACGCTACATCCAGATGAATGAGCATACACACTAGCCAAGTTCTAGGGCATACCCTTTAAAAAAAAAGGGTATTAAAAGGGATCAGAATGAGCTCTAGGTTTTTTTTTATCTTTCCCCTAAAATATTAAACATGAGTTTAAAGATGATTGCAGAAGGATTGTAGAAGCAAATTTTATTATTTTTTCTGTTAATAATAAACATATAAGCTGTCATTATTAATGTGTTAATTATCCCTCTGTTTTATACAGATGTGACTCCATTGGCTCATTTTTTGTTAGAGAGGTGCATTTTAAATTTACTTTCAATTACTACTTTGAACCAAGATAGGAATTTATGATTTAAATATTTATTCTATGCAGGTTTTAGGTTTTCTGGCTCTAAATTATAATAGATGCCTTTAAACCTAAGTACACGATTTCTAGTGTGAATGGAGAGTTTGTATTACTTTTCATTTAGAATGATTTTATTTCTCAAGAAAAGATGACAACACACCAACCAGCATACAAGTAACTCGTACATGTCAATACACATGCAAAGAGATGATGTATATTTTTTTCTGGTGTCTCTCAGGGTATGTTTCTGATCCCATGAGCACCATGAGGTTCTGCTCATCATTCAGCAGCAGCGGCAGCTTTGAAGACAACAGCTGAACTGTTCATCATCCATTTGTGTTCAGTGATATCTCTGTATATAATGTTGAATAAAGAGGGAGTTTGAAGATAAATGATAAAAGATAAATTTGTCAATTTATTAGTAAGTTACTCAATATTTATGTTCCATTTTCCATTATATCAGGTAGATTTTTGACAAATTTGCTTTTGTCAATAAAAGAAAACCCACTTCAGTTATTATTAAATTTATTGTCATGTTGGCCTATTCACACAATCTGTACAAGGAAAGATATTACATAAAATGCTGAAGCTAAACACTACTACACCTATACAGAAGAATAATCAACAATAAAGCCTATCAGAAAATACAGCTAAGTATTAGCAACATGGGTCTTTTTGATATTTCACTTCATCAGCAACAAGCAAATCATCATCAGCGGTCTCCTGTTGCTGATAATGTCTCTGGATAATCATGTCAGAGTGTTGACTAAAACGGCCATTACCAGTTTGAATTACAGACCTCTGATGAAAGCCGCCCTGCTCGTACCCCCCGGGTTGGAAATCTAAAGTGCATCGGAGGTCGGCCAAAGATGCGGGAGTCTGACAGCTATGAATTATTTAATCATCCGTGAGCGGGACTAGGGGTGGATCCTTTTACAGGTAATAGATGATAGCAACTGTACTTGATACTGCCACATTGTGACTAACAATGAAAAGAGGTGGGTCTATTGTAAATATTGTGCCCAGCAGTCAAAACACAAGGTACAGCGAGTTCTTCCTGGTAAATTAGCAGTGACGGCCATCTGATAGCTCATTCTAATATACATGCAGAAAGTAAGAGGCACTTAAGGGATTCTTTTTAACCTCAACCTACATCGTAATTGCTAATAATTTAGGTACATGTCCTGCTTTAAACAAAGTTCTCTCAAATTTGGAATTTAATACATCAATTTAGCGTTACTTCCCTCCTTCAGATTTTGAAGTAGTCAGTAAAGGATAAGAGGACTGAGCAAACAAAGAAAAAGTGCTGAGGCGCTCTTTGCTCAAAGTGTGCCTGATGTCTTCAATGAGTTGGATGTCTCTGGTCTCTCCACTGAACCTTTGCTCTAATAATTTAGTTTGGATATCTTCTTTATGAGATACTTCTTCTCTTCCATCAGCTGAGTTAGATGTTGCAAAATCTATTATTTGTGAAATTTGAATTCCATCTCTATTTAAGTTGTCCGATGTGTTCTCTTTGTCTTTCTCTCCGTTCAGGGAGTTGAATTTGTCTGTTTTAAATGGAAGATCTGCTGCCGCCTGTTCTACAACCAGCTCCAGACTGCTGTTGGCGGACCCAAAATTTTGATTCTCAAAATCATCCTCAGCCTTGAGACAGGCTGAGAAACCGTCGGTTCTAAAAGTGTTTCCCTCTTCTTTCTCTTCTGCCTTTGATCCCCCACTGTCAAACTTATTTAGTTCCAGGCTTTTCTCTTCCGTCTCCTCACTGCCTTGTAGTCCACCTTCCACTAGCTCTTTCTCATCCTGCTCATCATCATGACTCTCCTGAGCCTTTATCTGAGTTACGTCTCTGGGCTCCTTTTTGTCCTCTGCCATTCTCATCGGGCTCTCTGATCTTAGAAGCTTTTCAGAATCGTTTTCTCCACCATTTGGATCGCATACTGGCGCATCTGGAACATCTTCCTTCAGTTCTTCTAAGGGCTCTACAAAAGTCTCAAAAAACTTTGACATTTGGTGCATTTGTATCCAGTTTGTGACCATATCTGTATTGTCACCCCCAGCTAAAGCCTCTGGACTTTCCTTAACTACAGCATAGTTTTGCGTTAGAGGCTTGAGCAGCACACTTGCTCCTTCCTCTGAGGCCTTGCTTGCCTCCTCTATCTCCTCTCCATTCTCTTCCGTTTCAAGGGGCTTTTCAGTAATAGACTGAAGCTTCCCTTCCTCATCTCGGTCAGTTGTTTCCTCTACATCAGCAGCTATTTGTACTGAAGAGGTTTTATGTAAAGTATAAACCTTAGCCGCATCATTCCCAGTGTTGTTTTGGATCAAATTGAACTCTTTGTTTTCAGCTTCCCCGTTTCCACCTTTCTCCTCTTGTCTTTCTGCTTCTGATGTTCCTGGCTCAGAGTCCAGGTTTACAGCATCATCATGCTTCACCCTGACACCATCTGCTTCCTTAGCATCGCTCTCTGCGATACCGATCTCTGGGGCTTGATCAGTCAAGTTTTCAGCATTGTCTCCAGACTCCACGGCTATTTTTTTCTCTGGGCTCCTGTTTTCTTCATCTGGCTCATCTGTCTGTCTTCCTTCGCCAGATGTCAGAGCATTTTCCTCATCCTCTTGAGGTTCACGCTCAGCTGCGACAGAACTTTCCCCATTTTCAGTGTTGATTTCTCCTTTTTCACTTTCCCTCTCTACTTCTCCTTCACCAGCCCCAGCTTGTGAAACATCTGGAGTCTGCTCATGCGTCTCAGTCCCATCTGCCGCTTTGCTTTCACTGGCGTTCTCAGAGTCAGCAATATTTTCAGGGAAAAGTTCCACTTTTTCTGTATCCAAGTAGCCATCTTGCATTTTTTCAAGTTCGTCTGTGTGCTCCAATGCCTCCCTTCCCTCTGATATACTGTTTTTAATTACATCCCCACATACTTCATCAGTTTTAGCCTCTTCACATTTTTCTTTCTCAACATCCTCTGATTGTCGCTCTTCCTCATCTTTTTCTTGTAAAGCTTTGTTTGACTTACTATCCACTGCATCTGCCGGACCTTTATCATCTCTCTTTGCTTCAAGTTCTTCCCCATCGATTGCAACCTTAACTCCCTCACCTTTAGCCTCTGTATCAGTCTCTATAACTCCATCTTCATCGCCCTCATCTGGGATATCTTCTGTCCCTTCTGATGGGGTTTTCTTATATTTGATGGATTCAGCAGCCACTCTTTCATCAGGAATTTCTTTCGTTTCATTTTCATCTGCTGTTTTCTCCTCAGAATTTGCAAGTGTTTGCATCTCTGCTGCTTCATTGACTTCCACAGGTTCGCCCTCTCCATCATCTGCTTTTGATGCTTGCTGTTTTGATTCTAAATGCATTTCATCAAAACTGCTCTGGGTTTTCACAGTTTCCGCATGCATATCTGATGTTCTCTCAGCTGTGGATTCCCAAAACTCCTCTGGTGATATGCGTAAATTCTCCACTGTGACTCGAGCTTCCTCGCTGTCTGCCTGCATCTTGTCGGTGCCGGTTTCAGGTACCTCTTCATGGCTGAGGGCCTCTCGCTCCTCTGAGGACTCCGCTTTGATCTCCTTTGTCTCGGTTGTAGCTGTTGCCTCCGCCTCAGCAATATCTGCCACTGCTGTTTTATCCATCTGCTCACTCTGCTCCAACACTGATGAGTCATCCTCTTCTTTGCTTTTTGCCAATTCCTCTGTCTCATCATAATAAATGTCAGGTTTCTCTGCATCTTTTCCCCCTTTTTCTTGAGTGTTACTGGAAGCCTCAACATTTGAAGACTCACTTCCCTCAAAGGGATCCTCTATCTTGTCATCGTGTGCTACATTTTCTCCATCAACAGTAGGCTGAGTTTTCCCTTGTTCTTCTGACTTATCCCCTCTTGTGGTTTCACAATCTGCAGCCTCCTCATTCTCCACAGCCTCACTGGTTCTCTCTTCCTGGGGGTTGTCGCCATGGTCCGGCTCATTCTCCTCTTCTGTTTCTGGAAACTCTTTTTCTACAGCTTCTTCTCTTAAACTTTCTTCACAATTTGCCTCTTCTGCGGGTGTCTGCAGTTGTTCTGAAAACAGGAAAAAAAGTTCAGATAGTTAAGATCAATAATTCTAATATGGCATCATTCAAAGTGGCTTCCAGAAACATTCATACTTACAGTATTAACATTTTTTCATAACAGACCCACAAGCTTTAATGTACTGTATTTTAGTGAGGTATATTGTGATAGAGCAAGATAGGGTGACCAGACATCCTCTTTTTCCCGGACATGTCCTACTTTTCATTTCAAAATCGTCCGGGATTTTGCTCGACTACAATGCAGCACGTAATCGAAACAAACCGGGCACTTAAACTGAGCCGTCCGCTCCGGGGCTGGTCCGGGAACCCCGGCGGACTTGGGCAGGGAGCCAGCAGTGGTAACAGAGGTTGGGTGCAGCTATCTTTGTTCAGAGAGTTTTGAGTTAGTGTTTTTTTTTTTCCTCTCTCCCGCTGCTCCCGTGTCCCGCCTCTCGGTGCACCATCATTGGATCTGTCCCTTTAAGACATCTGAGTTGCGGTCGCATTTCATTGCTTAGAGAGTAGCAATGTGGAGGAGGAGAGACACACAGCAGCACTCAGTGAATATTAGCCGGCAGCTAGTTCGATGTTTAAGTAAAAGTTGGGAGACGGGTTGCTTAAAATAATTAGAGATGCCACCAAAAATCTGTTCGTTAGACATACAGAGCTTTTTTAGCTAAAAATGGCAACAGATTTTAACTTTAAACAAGTTGGTATTATAACAGAGAGAAGTAGGGAGGGCTGCAGATTTAAAGGTGAAACAGATTTACTGAGATATGCAACATGCAATAAAATATATCACCAAGTTTACTACAAAGTTTACAAGAAAAAAATACGCTATGTTATATTTAAAATGCAGCATATCCAATGTTTTTCTGGATGGAACTGAAATTGTACTTCTAGGGATGCATGATATATCAATTTTAGCATTGGAATCTGCTCTTATTAATAATTTTTTTCATGCATGGATGTTTTTTGGCCCTATATTGTAATGCACTAAAAGCCATCTCTCTAACATCTATAAATATAAATATCAGTGTGTTATGCTCTTGTGTTCTCAAAAATAGGAAAGCATTTAATATATATATATCTTTGAGCTAATTTTTGGAAATGTATTTATTTATTTTTTTATTTATGTATTTATTTATTTTTAACAGTGTCCTGTCTGGCAATGTGGCAATAAGTGTCTTGATGCCAAAAAGAGCCTAACGAAATTTACTTTCACAAGTGGAGCAGTAGGGCTATCGCCATAGTGTTCCGCTTGTTTTATGCATATAAATTGCTTTATTATAATTATGCAGGGAGTTTTACAGATTATATGGACACTGCAATGTAAGCAGA